TTTTTTTTCTAATGGCCGTTATCGAATAACGCAGAAGGGTCGCTAATAAGTGATAAGTAAGTGAAGGGCCAAACAAATGGAATATTTTTCTTTGAAAAAATCATGAGTCATCCGCACCATTTGGTAAGAGTAAACAAGAAAACGTTACCAGCTGTTTCGATGGGACAAAGCTGTGCCTCTATCAAGGAATCGAAGTAAGTCGGCATTCAAAGCTTATTTTCAAAAACAAAATATCCTTCCGTATTCTCAGGATGAGAATGTTTTATCCTAACTGATAAAAAAGGGTTCGTGTGTACAGGTTAGTGCGAAAAGCAAAAATAGGTGAACAGTGAGACACAGCAACAATTCAGAGGAACTCAGCGGAATTTTGGCAATATGAAAAAAATTTTCAACTTCACAGATAAGCTTTTTCAGTGCGCAAAACGCGCTTGACGTTAGCAGTCGTACACAAAAATTTCGGCAGGAGGCAAAATCAAAGCCTCTTTTCCTTACTCCTGTCGCAGTCAGTCGCTAGGAGAGGCTAAGGCACTCGAACGGTAGCAATTGCTGAAATTGACTGCTCGCTGATAAAGATTTCGGTGGATTACTCTTTCGATGCTTATTTGGAAGCAGGCAGGTGGCAGTTCTGACTCTTTGGCGTGCGCTAGTATCAATTTACAATTGAAACGAGTAGTGGTGAAACTGGTTGGCCTTTTAGAGGCGTAGCACCATAGATCTCCAGCTGGAAAACAGCGCTTCCAGAGAAGGGACGCAAAAAAGGATAAAACCTAAAAGGCAAGGAATTTTCGTCCTGTAAATAAGTCGGAAGTTGGAATTGAGAAAGGGCAAAAAACTGCCACAGTCGAAGAAAAGTAATTTAAAGGAAGTGTAGCCTGAAGTTGCGGGAGAAAACTTGCTTACGACAGAAATCCATTAAATTAATTGAAGGAAACATACTTGGCATTAAATTCGTCAGATTTTGACGACTTTGACGAGCTTCGAGTGGGTCGTTGTACCGAAATACATGGTACTTGCCGAGAATCACACGCGAACCTGTATGCAACACCTCTGATGAAGTAACTGGTTTACCATTTACAAAACACTGGGCGCCTGTTTCGGGAATTAATTGTACTACACCGTCTTCATTCAGAAAACGGCAGTGCTCATCGAGGATAAGCTGGCCGCTGAGTAAAATATCTGGGCGGTGAGATGCTTCCGGTCGTCCAACTCTGCAACATTCACTATCATCAATTCAATTCAGTCATAGAACAGTGTTAATAAAGTTGCTAGAGACGTCAAAAAGTCGAGGTCCATAGACATTTTAGCAGTTTTTAGAGAATCATCAGCGTTTGAAGAAATAGGTGCTGCAGAATCTCAACGAGCGAATTAAGGAAATGGGCCTACAAATCGTCAGAATAAAGCGAAATGAGCGTAAGTCCGTGCCAGACTACATATAGATGAAGTTAACCTAGAAAAGCTGGCAGTTTCTATGCCATCTCGGGAAAATACATACTAAAATCTCCGACTGAAAATTACATGCTGATGACTACCGGTATGCGTGAATTTTCAACAATCCCTTAAAGATGTCCTTAAAATGTGGAAGGATAAATTGATGATCGAAGTGCGTAGAATGTAAGAGAAATTGATTACGCCATCCTTGCGTTGAAAAGAGTGAATTACAGTTGTGAAATTTGGTCGCTGATAATGCAGAAGGGCGAACATTGTTTGTGTCAGAGAAAGCAATGAAGCGAAAACTTTAGTGTCAGTCCATGCCCGATAAAAATGAAGATTCAGACGCTCCTCCAGATGAGCGTGATATGTTTTTCATTCTGCTGGCAGCTAGCGGTCGACATGAGTTGGTGAATGATGGCCTGCCAAGGCAAGGTGGCCGCTAGAGTGATCTCCAAACTGGTGGCTTACGTATGGAAACTCAAAATCGATGGTCCAGGCATAGCTAGTTCTGCTTGTGCATTCCTAGCAACGCCAGTAAGAGCAGGCCATCAAGCAGATCGTCTAAGCGATCCTGGCGAATTAGTAAATGAATCGCGATAATGTTTAAATATTGAGATTATTTGTTACCTTGTAATTCCTTCTTTCAGATAGTAGAGCAAGCATTCGGACATCAGAGGATCCTCGTTGAGATTTACAAGGTGTGGCAACTGAAAAAGTATTACCTCCAGAAAATACGGGCATAGTTCTAGAATAATGCTACACTTCTTCAGCATACTCTCAGCAATTCTTCAGGAATAGGCTAACTTTTTTAGGTGAGAACACTCCTAAAGTGCTACCATCGGCTCCCGTTGCTAGGCCCATCTCACGAAGCTCATCTTCTCGTTGCTTACGTATTTCCTCCGTTTTGCGCAGTTTTTCTTCCCAAGTTTCGTTTAACTCGGCAATCAGTTTCTCGGATGCTGCAAATAAAATGCCATAAGGTGATGGCTTTCGCAAGCCAATTAAGGCAATGGCTTTAACAAACCGTGGCAAATGCAGCTTTGCGATA